TGTGGTAATCAGAATTGTTATGAATACCGAATTGCAAGTAAAAGCAGAGAATAAAAGAAAGCCAGCTGGTTATAAGCCATGCAAATTCTTTTGAATAATAAATCTTGAAGTGCGAAACTCAACAAAAAGATTCTTGTTTGGAAACAAGTCTTACAGTGTTTTGACACGCCAGGCTCATAGAAAGACTTTCAGATGATTGGTGTTTAAATCAATTTAATTTTACATTATTTATACAGTTTAAAGTACTTTTTGAAAAGAATCAAACTACAAAGAATAAGTAAAAAAGAAGTATATAGAAAGTTTTATTTGGGTTGTAGGACTCAACTATTGAAAATAATCAAAATCCAATTTTGCTTTAGAGAAATTAGCATAACAACGACTTCTTAAAATAGGTTATCATACTAAACAAAATCGGATTTTGATTATTTTTAATTGTAAAGTCCTATCCAATAATGTAAAATTAAACAGCCAATCATATGAAAGTCTTCCTATTAACGCCAGGCCCGCAATTTTGAGAGGTTGTTAAAATTTTTAAATTTCAGCCCGGCTCTAGTGAGAGATACATTGTAATAGTCATATCGTGCGATTATAGCGCGAGTTGATTTTATAATAACCATAAACGATGTATATTAGCTTTAAAAATTGTGACTATTGCGGGAGTAGACTGTAATATCAAAGTTGTGCACTGCACAGGTGCGTATATACTGACGTACTGTACGCGAAAAATAAGTTCATTTCATTATTCATATTGTAGTCTTTATTAGAGACAACACGTTACATATTGTAGTACTTTGGCCCTAACACTAGCTAAGGTAATAATATATTCACTACGTTAAATTTTTTTTTTAAAAAAAAGGAAAAACAGGTTTAAAAAATTAGGGATGCTAACTAAAGATGCGAACTATAATTTACAATTAATATAAACTATAGTTAACTAACTGGAGACGTGTTAGAATTTATAATATTGTATCGCATTGCAAGCAAAAAAAATTACTCATGATAAGTTTATATTTATTTATATATCAAGTAAATGTTTAAATAACAACATTCAAAAGGATAAAATTACATGTACGTAAATTCAGGAAATTCTTTTGTTGGTTGTATTAAAGCTCATCTCGCAAATACAGAAACCTTCTCTGCAGCATGATATACCTCCTGATCGATATGCTCTAAGACGTTAGACTCTATTTCTGGATTTTTCAGGAGTCATCGGTGTTTGTGTAATTATACTTGATAAAAATTCTTCTCTACTAATTCTATTTTCTTGTGTAATTACGCATGATAAAATTTCTTGCTGTTGCGTCGTGTATCTTTCAATTTCATAAAAAATTTCATCCATTTGCAGAACTATTTTCTAAAATATATATAAAGTTAATCGTTTGTGCTATCTCAGGTTTAAGGTAAAGAACTTACGTACTTTTATTTGAAAAAAAAGCTCTAACATATATTCAACCTCATTGTTACATTTAGAAGTTGGTATTACAACTTGGCTTATTAAACGGACACGTCCAACACCATTTGAAATTGGATCAAATAGTAATAGGGTTGCCTTTCCATCTGAAAATAAATAGTAATAATAAATAAAATATGTAAATTTTAAATAAAATAGATAAATAACAAATACCAAAAATGTGAAGGCCCAATATGTTGATTTTTTGAAATAATTCAATTATATGATTGTCAAGATAATCAAATTTTTTGGTATAGTATACAACTATACTATTATATGCATCATTTAAAGACCGTGTTAGTTTATCATAGTCATCACCATTCGTTGGTCCACTAGGTCTTTTGGCTTCACAAATAAGTTTATACAATATTATTTCGGGGTCATTCTTTGGTGTATATGCGATTGCTATGTCAATTTTTCGGCTTACGGATTTTGGCACTTTGGTCTCACCATAGCTATATGGTGGCTTGTGTAAGTTATTTTTACGGTCATGAGAGCATTGACTTTGATGTTCGGGACTAGATGATCGATATAAAAAAAAACTTTATAATGTAAACTGATTAACAATAAAAATATATAAAATTATTTACGGCTCAATATGGTTTATGGACAAGTTTTGCCCCATTATTTCTTGTAAAGGGGATAATATATAATTGAACACATATCGCGATTCGGTATATTTCAATGGAGAATTCGTCCATTCGATGATCCTAAAATTAACAGTAATAATAATTAAAAAAGCGATTACTTACATACATTATTAAAAATTTTTAACATACCATTTTTTTAGGACATTTCCACATGATTGTATTTCATCTTTTGAAATTTCATTTTTAAAAATATTATTAAGAATCATATTGTCTTGCTGCAGAAGTGAATAAGATTCTGAAATAACATCATGCAAGCTATCTTTTACAGAATCAGAAAACAGGAATTTTCCTGAAACATTTGCTAATCTGAGAAAATTATTTGCAGAAAAGCAATTCTTTAAGGGCTTTGAGGGATTGTATGTGTCAATTATTTTACAAAAAAGATTACATGTAATAGGAAGTTGAATAACATCTTGTTCAAAATTTTTAAGGTTGGTTAAATTTTTGAGAACAGGAAAAATATCCTTTTTTACAGAAGGTGGACAATACTGGAGTTTAAATAAAAAAAAGATTATTAATAAAATATTTTGAAAGTATTAAATTATTAAATAAATGACAGCATGTTGTAACGCCAACTTACAAGAACTTTAATTAGTTCATTTATACAATGTATTTTGTATTTCTTTGTATTATTTTCTACAATTTTATGCTTTCTTTCCTCTGTAATATTTTGAATATAACTTAAAATATTGTTGAGTTCCGGAATAGTGTAGCATGTCTTGATGATTTGTTCAATTAATGTTTGTGCATCAAAAAAGTCTTATATCATAGAAATTTAGCATTAGTAAAAATTATTGTTATTTGTTAACATCTGTCATTTTAGGATTAATATACGTCATTGCAGATTTAAAATTAACATATAATATTAGCAAGCTTTTTTTAAAAGTGAAAGTAATACTAAAAAGATAAATTGACTTAGGTTATTTTTCAATCAGTGAAGATTAAAAAAAAACACATGTCAATTCCAAAATAACGGGAATTGAAAAATAACACGTAACATATCGATATATGCAATTAGTACAAAATTGATTTTTTTGCAATACTTACTATACATTTTCAATTCACAAAGATCATTTTCTTTGTTATCATCCTTATCTTTCAAAATATTTAACCATTGCTCAAGATATTCAACCTTTACAATATCTTTCTAAAATTAATAAATATTTTAGTATAGTAAATATAAATTATTCCATACCCACTAAACCTGACAAGTTACTTATGATCTTAGTATAAAAGTTTATATCAGCCAGATTCTCATAAGCTCTTAGTATGAAAATATAACTACATTCATACCCGCCGAACCTGACAAATCCAGGCACCAGAACAGTAAGTTACTTACGATCTTAGCATAAAAAAAATTTATACCTGCCAAATTCTCATAATTCAAGCGCCAGAACTATAAGCTCTTAGTATGAAAATATAACTACATTCATACCCGCCGAACCTGACAAATCCAGGCACCAGAACAGTAAGTT